TGCCCAAACATCAAGGTCAATGCTCATCAGACTGTCGAGGATGAGACAGATGCATCAGACACATCAGAAGACGACCAGGTAGGCGCCTTCAATGCAATTGTTGGCTCTATCCCTCATGCCTTAGCGGGGACCAGTGCATGTCCTCCTAAGAAAACATCAGTCCCGATCACCAGGAAAGGGAAAGAAAAGATGGACGAAGGACCTCCTAAGCAAGCGAGGACCCTAATGTTCGTCGAATTGAAAGTGAACGGCAAGCCCCTTCACGCATTGATAGACACGGGTGCCACCCATAACTACTTGTCATCAACGCAAGTAGAGCGCCTAGGTCTTGTTGTACAAAAGAGCAAAGGCCGCGTCAAGGCTATCAACTCACCACCTCAGACATTGGGTGGAACAGCTACAAATGTCCCAGTGAAACTTGGCCCATACAAAGGAAGCATCGACCTGCGCATCGCAATCATAGATGACTTCGACATCATAGTGGGTTTGGAGTTCATGAGGCAAACCAACACCATTCCGGTACCATATGCCAACATGCTCCTGATGATGGGAGAAAAAGGGGCCAAGCCCTGCACCATACCATGCTTTCCCATAAAGATGGCCGCTGAAAACATCTCGGCCATGCAGTTGGAGAAGGTAGTCAACAGACATGAACCCCAGGTTCAGGCTACCCTTCGCAGCAACAATCAGTCATCATGTCATCGGCCTCAAAAGACTGGTGACGCTCATCATCGTGTGAAGACTTGTCAGCCATGCCACAAGGACAAGTCGGATCACTCATCACAGCCGGGACCCTCGCAGCCATTACATGTCCCTCAGAGACCATGGGAAAGTGTTTCCCTCAGATTCATCACGGGATTGCCCCAAGTCGGCAATCTTGCATCCATCATGGTTGTCATAGATCAGTTCTCAGACTATGCAACTTTCATAGCAGCCCCGCAAAACATCTCAGCAGAAGATACAGCTCGACTCTTCTTCTCGCACATTGTCAAACATTGGGGCCTGCCCAAAAACATTGTTAGTAGGCGCGACTCACGCTTCACTAGCAACTTTTGGACCCATCTCTTCAGGTGCTTTGGGTCAACATTGAGTCACAACACAGACATCCATCCACCATCGGATGGCCAGACAGACCGGTTCGATGACATGCTGGAGGAATATCTCCGCAACTTCGCAACCGGATCACAGAAGCATTGGGTGAAGCTCCTGGATGCTGCTCAACTGTGTTTCAATTCTCAAAAGAGCCATCATACAAACAAGAGCCCTTTTGAAATTGTTACCGGACAGCAACCGCTTCTCCCGCAAACGGTGAATGCATCAACCATGCCGAAATCTCCTCGAGCTGCCAACTTCTCGAGCGAATGGGAGCGCAACATGGAGATAGTGCGGAGCTATCTCATCAGGGCCCAAGAGCGGGCAAAAAGGTTCACCGAACAAAAGCTTTGCTTTGCCCAACATCAACCAGGGGACAAAGTAATGCTATGCATCCCAAAGCGGTACTTGTTTGCAGAAAGGACCCATGACCCTCGCCTGCAACAAAAATACATCGGGCCCCTGCCCATTGAAAAACGCATTGGGAAGTCCACATACCAGGTCAAAACTCCATCCTGGTGGAAGATCCATCCAGTCTTCCATGTCAGCCGCATGAAATCATTGCTTCGCTACAACAGCAAGCTCAAAGAACAGAGGGGCGCAGACCTCCCATCCAACAACCATCAGCATCATCATCATCATCATCATCATCATCATAAGGCTCCGAGGACGGCGCCAACTCAGGTGGGGGAGACTGTCATGGGCTGCTTTCCAGACATGCCCCATGACCCCTTGGCCGCGCCCCATGGCGGCCTAGCAAGCCTCACAATGCCTAGCGCCATGGTCGGCCCCGTGGTCTTGGCTGCGCCAAGCGACAAGCGCGCATGTGCCTCTGTCGCCCCACCGATGCCTCTCGCCAGCGCCCAAGGGCTGGCCAATGACAACAGCGCCGCGCGCCCTGACAATGCCGCGCGCGCAGATCCTGATGCCTCGCCAGCGCCCAGCTGCAGGCCCATTCCAACAGCGCCTCGCGCACAGACCCTGATGCCAAGCACCAGTGCCCAGCCTCAGGCCAGCACATCAAGTGTCGCGCGCGCCCACAGCAACGCACGCGCAGACCCTGACCCGCAAGACAAAGATGCTGCCTTCGGACTTAGTTTTACCTTGTGATAATCTAAGTCCTTTTTCATTGTAATCATAGACTAGTTTTCATCATTTTCATTTCAGTGTGCTTCTACAGCTTTATTAGGACTAGTCTTGTAATGTTGGTTTATTTTTTTTAAGCATTATTAAGGGGGACCAAACAATCAAACATTTTCAAGCAAGCATTTTCTGGTGTCTCTCCCCCTCGACACCGCATCATTGTAATCAGCATTTTCAGTCATCAATAAAATCATCATCATCATTCAAAACCCAATTCTCTCTCAGCTTCCGCAATTTGCTCACGACATTGGTTTTCCCGCACGGCACTGACAATCTAGTCTAGCGTGCGGCGAGGACCTCATTGGCGGACAGCAACCGCACTGACATCGGTTGCTTAGCCTTACGTTGCCCTTCCAAAGAACATCAGGAAGGCGTTGCGAAACATAACACATGCACATGTGCCTCGAGGTCCCTTTTTTCTTCGAGTAGGTAAAACCATGTGGTTAGTTCTAAAGTTCTTAATGTTCCCTTAAATTTTAGTGTAAAACACACTACAACATTTTAGGCCTTTAACCATTGTATTAGTAAAAATTAGACTTGCCATGTGGATCTATTAAATAGCGACACGTGTTAGTAAAGTTGAAGAAAAATGAAGAATGACATGTAAAGATGATATGTGAAATACCTCCGGGACCAAATATACTCGTACCGTGCCCGTTAGCTTCGGAATCGATCATCATGAAATAGCCCGGATCAGGTGCGGGAGAATATCTCATAATTACAAATGAGGAAGGAATCAATTAATCCCGGATTATATGGGATTTACCATCATTACACCATCAGTTACAAATCAATTATTAATAAATGCAATAAATGATTGTAACGGGCAGAACAAGGCAATCAACAGGTACAGGATTGACTCAACAGGCACGAGATTGACTCATCAGTTATGGAATTAACTCATCAGTTATGGAATTAACTCATCAATTACGGAATTAACTCATCAGTTACGGAATTCCAGCATTTAACAACTGTTACAAGTCTTCCAAAAGTAATGGATGGATTGAGTAAATGCTAATAATGGACCCATAATTCAAGGAGACTACTTACTTAGATTTAGCCCTATAAATAGACATACTTTTACCACTATCAGGGGAATCTAATTTTCTTCTCTACAATTCTATACATTGTAATTCATAGCATCTTGCTCCCAAGTTAGTCATAGTTCGGTCGTTCAAGCTCTGTTCGGCTCATTATCCTATCAAGGATCATTCAATAAGAATTCTTTCTTCTCTGCTTTATTTTATTGAATTTATTTTCCACTTTTCTATCACGTTGTATTAACGAAATTTTATATCTTTCGGATTGAATCGGTTGCTTGTGGCCCGTCGTATAAAATTATTGTTTTGACCTTGAAAACTATTTTTTGAGTTAAATAACCACACCTAAAAAGTGTGGCCTTAACTATCATGGCCTTTGTTAAAAGGCCACACTTTTCGACCTAAGGCAACGTTTTTTGAGAGGTGGCCTAAACGAGCGTAACCTTTACCCTAAGGCAACACTTTACAAATGTTGCCTTAGAAGCCACACTTGAAAAACGTGGCCTAAAATGTAACAAGAGCCACGCTTGTAATACCCTCTATGGCAACACATTTAGGTACTACAATAACCCATTAAAAGCGTGACCAATGTTACTCTTTAGGCTACACTTCTCAAGTGTTGCTTTAGGAGCTACACTTGAGAAGTGTAGCCTAAAGAGTAACATTGGTCACGCTTTTAATGGGTTATCGTAGTACCTAAAAGTGTTGCCATAGAGGGTATTACAAGCGTGGCTCTTGTTACATTTTAGGCCACGTTTTTCAAGTGTGGCTTCTAAGGCAACATTTGTAAAGTGTTGCCTTAGGGTAAATGTTACGCTCGTTTAGGCCACCTCTCAAAAAGCGTTGCCTTAGGTCGAAAAGTGTGGCCTTTTAATAAAGGCCACAGTTTCTGATAGTTAAGGCCATACTTTTTATGTGTGGTTATTTAACCCAAAAAATAGTTTTCAAGGTCAAAGCAATAATTTTATATGACGGGCCACAAGTAACCGATTCAATCTGAAAGATATAAAATTTCGTTAATACAACGTGATAGAGAAGTGGAAAATAAATTCAATAAAATAAAGCAGAGAAGAAAGAATTCTTATTGAATGATCTTTGATAGGATAATGAGCCGAACAGAGCTTGAAGGGCCGAACTATGACTAACTTGGGAGCAGGATGCTATGAATTACAATGTATAGAATTGTAGAGAAGAAAATTAGATTCCCGTGATGGTGGTAAAAGTATGTCTATTTATAGGGCTAAATCTAAGTAAGTAGTCTCCTTGAATTATGGGTCCATTATGAGCATTTACTCAATCCATCCATTACTTTTGGAAGACTTGTAACAGCTGCGTAAATGCTGGAATTCCGTAACTGATGAGTTAATTCCGTAATTGATGAGTTAATTCCGTAATTGATGAGTTAATTCCATAACTGATGAGTTAATTCCATAACTGATGAGTCAATCTCGTGCCTATTGAGTTAATCCCGTGTCTGTTGAGTCAATCCCGTGCCTGTTAATTGCCTTGTTCTGCCCGTTACAATCATTTATTGCATTTATTAATAATTGATTTGTAGCTCTTAAAGCAACACTTGTAAAGTATAGCTTTTACTACTATATAGGCCACAAATTTGCTAATCCCTATTGCCATGCTTATGAGGTTAGTGAATTATATTTTTATATATATCCTCCATTCAAATGTAAGTATAAAGATCTCAAGCACTCAATGAACTAGAAGATAATAAAAGAATAATTCAAATGCATAAACTTGCAATGTACTTCAAACAAGGAGTAAACCTCGTGTAATACATCAACATAAAGAAAATTGTCACAAGGGGCATGCTAGCAATTAACTTTATAAAAAGCAAATGTATTATTATAGTATCAGAAATAACAAAAATCATAATTGTCCAAAGTCTTGGTGATTAAATTCCATTAGATCAAATTGTCGCTTGGCCACCATTTCCAACTGCTCACAAAGACTTTCCTGCACATTTAAAATAAAATTAGTAATTAGATAGAAATCAATAATATGCAAGTGCAAACTCATAGCAATGTGACAGAGTTTTCTCCTTGAAAATTTAAATACCAAGCACTATTCTAAGCACTATTCTAAGAGCAGATGTCTATTATAAGTATAAGACTTAAGCCTAACCAAACTAGTAGGGGTACGCTATAATACTTCTCAACATTTATCAGTTTTTTCATTAGTTGTTTTTCTTTTTTGTGCATTGCCATCAACACTTTCTTTTGTATTTTGCATTATCATCAACACTTCCTTTTGTACTTCTATGAAAAATACATATCAGAAAATAGAAGAAAAAAAGAAGATACTTTCAAATTTCAATCAGTCGTATCCATTACCTGAACACAAGTATACATTCACTCGATCATGTCCATTATAGAAAGACATATCCAAATTAAGAGCTGATAGAATAATGCTATTACAGATAAAGAAAGGTCCAAGAAAATAATAGGTTTGATGAGTATGACTTTATAATACAGATTCTAGAATTGATGATTAATCAGATTTAAGAGTAAATTACCCCCCCCCCCCCACTTTTGAAATTACACTGAGTTGTTGTTATTTTACATATACATAAACTTTCATATCTTCGATGATAATGTAAAAAAGATACGACTCGTGAACTATGTATCATGCAATATGTAATGGATAAAAGAATCAATCAATAATTCAATCATTAACATTTATAAGTTTTAAATTCTCTTTGTTTCCACCTACTCAACCTTATCAATTTTACAATAGTTCGATATTAAAAGCTTGTTCAAAATTCAAGCATCTCAAAAATCCTAAAGTACAACAGTTCTGCGTGCTCACACTAAACATTCTGACTGCATTCTCCCAGTTGAATTGCTAACAAGACAAAGTTTAATAGGAAGCCAAGAACCAAAATGAAATTAACAAATCTGAAAAGGTTACCAATCAAAAATGTAAAATAATGCTTTCGAATCCCATCTTTAGCTTCAACAAATACATTACTTTTTTAATACAAAGAAGACCAAAACCTCAAACCCCATCATGGAAACATCATTTACATAAAACTCCCTCCTCTGTTAAGAAGCTCAACCTCTGGTTACTTTAGATCATCATATCATAAATACTCTATGATTCGGTGATCAATCAAATGTAAAATAGAATAGTATATTAAAATTCCATAACATATCTCACAGTACCAAAAAGAATATTAGCTTCATCTTTAAATGAAAACAATGTTAGCATAGGCTAACACATTTACATGACATCTCAATACCCAATCACGTAGTTAAAATATATATTAAGAACTTTTTCCCTATCATTTAAGCACTTTAAACCTTTAATATTGGTTTCGTATTCTGATGCACATGGAAATTATTCCTTTGTAACATGTAATTGTGAATCTCATGACATATATATGTTTGGGTTATCAATTGTACCTTTGATGTTGCACATTCATCAAAATCCATATGGAGCAGACCTCTAGCCGATTTTGAGATTACTAATTCTCTGAAAACCTTGTCCTCCTACAAATAGCCACAAGACATTAACTCAATAACTGACAAAATAAACTAGACATGAAAATCTAATAAATAAATATTCGAAAGACAATCAAAACAACCACAAAGAAAATAGTAGAGATGAAAATCTAGGACCTCATGTAGAAAATCTAAGTGAAACTGCTATACAATCTTGTAAACGACAGCTGGAAACAAATTTACATCGACAAATCAACAGCATACCCCTTCCGCTCCATTTCTACTTCCTCTGTTTGACAAGAACTTAGATTGTCAAGGTATAATAACTGAGTTTACACTAATTAGTTGAAATGTCTACAACATCCGGTATATCCTCCAGAAATGCTCTCTTCAATAACATCGAGGCAGGCTGTATAATGTGCATGCCTGGAGAAGTCTTCAAAACATGTTGTCTAGTAGTTTCTAGGATAGCAGATAACTCATGTATATGTTTAATTTTATCTATCCTTTGAAGTCTATTAGTATGCGCTTTACGTCCCTTTGCAATATGTAATGCCCATATACGAGAAATTACTAAGAGGTCTTAAGAAGATACCACATCATAGATAATACCAACTCCTTCCCTTCATCAGAAATATTGATCTTGGATGATTGTCACATGGTAATAACTAGTTTTTAGTACAAATATAGATGGAAAAGAAAAAATACAACACCTTATTCTTTTTGCATTTAGATAACCTTTTAACAACGCAAAAATGTCAATTAGTTCAAGAAGATGAATGGGGCTAAGCAATCTGCCGAAGCTGTGGGATGTAAAAATACATCGGTAGGGACGGAGATCGAGAAAGCCCTATACTCGACCTACTTCCATCTTAAAGCATTGAAAGAAAGGCAGGTAGCTTTGCCGAGTTTAAACATTATTAAATGTTACTGCAAGAAGCTATATAAGAATGGGCTATCTTTTTTGCCAATTTCAACAGAACTAAATCGGCTTCGACCCATTGCATTTGCTATGTAAGAATTGGGGTATTTCAATGGCCTTTAATGTCCAAACAAGCCATGGAAGACATTGAGTTCCGTCGAGCATATGTGCAACTTCATCAGAAAAATAATGCATTAAGGATGAAGCAAGATCTTGGTCAAGCAACAATAATTTAAAGAAGCAAGACATTTTAACCTCCACAACTAAATAATTCCAACCTTCAGTTCAGGTAGAGCAAGTTCAGCTCTCGATGTTGCAATTCGAGCACTGAACCACTAGAATAAACCAATGATATAAACATGTCAGCTTAAAAACTGAAGGCTACAAAAGTGTAAAACCATAAAGTTGAACAGTACAATTTACGAAAATAACAAACCATAGCCTATTCTAAGCACCCACCACTGGCAAATCCTTGAAAAGTAGCAACAAAAGGATTCTTTCTATCTAGAATAACCAACATTAGAAAAAATAATTTATTGATAATTTATCTATGTCAGTATTTATACACTAAAGAACATCTCTAGATTCTCAAAAACATGACAAAAGACTTAGGTACGGAAACAAATTAGCAACCTACTTAAAAAGCCCAATTCCTATAGTCACAAGCATGATATGGAGAACAGAGTTCTCAATGATTCTCAAAATCTGGAAGAAAATTGTGAGCTTCCAACAACAAGCCTTAACTTCTGGCGAAGAAAAAGAAAAACTCACTAAGGTAGAGAACAAACTATACGGGGATGAAAAAGAGCGAGCAAAATCAAAGTAGTGGAAGGGGATATTGAAGTATTAGTGGTAATATTAGCAATTACAGAGCAAATTACACGGGAGTGCTCTGCGAGTAAACCTCTGGGTATTGGACGACAATGGAGATACTATCAAGGTGGGTTGAAGGAACCAAAACCCTAATTCAAAGCCTTAATCGAAGTACTCAAATAATCAAAACCCTAAACTGGAAACTACGGAAAATAAAGGGGCAGGAGGTTACCATTTCAAGACTTAATCAACCATTAATGTAGAAGCAACGGTAACATCGGCAATGGAGGTGGTGGAAGATGCGGCAGTAAAAATAGAAATTTCTTCAGCCCCAGCAAATCGATAGAGGTGTGGGATTAAAAATGGGCAAATATTTACTGTGCGTCCTTTTTCCTTTTAGAAAATAGGAGAAAATATTTCATTAGGAAAAATAATGGAGGGAAACTTCTAATGAAAATATTGGTTGGAAAAGTTTAGAGCGCGCTTATAAAAGGTTGCTTTTAGGATTAAAAAATGGGACGCTCTAAAAACGTTGTAATATAGGTGAGTATGTGTTGCCAAATGTTATTTGAATTGGCAACACTTATAATGCGTTGTCTATATACTCAAAGAGAACTCTTAACCAGCGTGGTCTAAACTTCGTAGCCAAAAGTGACTAACAAAGGTCACCCCTTTATAAGCGTTGCCGTAGACGTTTTTGACAACGCTTCCAACCATTGCCTAAAGTTAGTGTGGCCTTAGGCCAAATTTGTTGTAGTAAAAAATAATAATAATATACTCAGTGCATTCTTACATGTGGAATTCGGGTTGGGTACTATCAACTATGTAAGCAAACATTTACCCCTATATTGTGAAGGTAGAAAGATTTTTTTCCGGTAGACCATCGGCTCAAGGAAAGCGCAATCACAACAATTATAACAAAAAATTACAGATAGAAAAGTAGTAACGACCATCAGAAAAATAATATAACTGAAGCAAAAGAAACAACAGGTAGTAATAGCAATTTAAGAATAGAAAATATGGAGATAACACTAGTACTACAAGTATAGAGAAAAGAAAAACAAGTTGAAAAAGAAATGCACTCGACTATTTACTAACTTACTACCCTAATACTCGACCTCCACATCCTCTTATTAAGGGTCATATCATCCTCGGTAAGCTAAAGATTTATCATGTACTGCCTGATCATCTCTCCTCGATACTTCTTTGGCATATCTCTACCTTTTCTTGGACGCGCCATATCCAATCTCTCACACCTCCTGGGGCATCTGTGCATCTCCTCTTCACATGACCAAACCATCTCAGCCTCATTTTTCACATCTTGTCCATCACAGAAGCTACTTCCATCTTATTTCGTATATCTTTATTCTTAATCTTATCTCTCCTAATATGCTCACACGTCTATCTCAACATCCTCATTATCGAGCCTTCATATGTGCCCATTCATGACAGAGGGAGTATTTTCTTTATTTGTTTTTACAATGTGAAAGAAATTAAAGACTACGGCTAACTTAAGTTGATCCGGCTAGCCTTCATGTGTGCCCGTTCATGACAGTATTCAATTGTGCATCAGATAATATTTTGGAAGCGGAGCAATCTATTTGTTATTACGACTTTTACTTACTGAGATTCCATTAGAAATCAATCGTCTTTAATTAATTAGTAACACTGCTTCTAATGTTTTGGAAAGGAAATGTTTATTACCCACCAACCACTGCGTCAAATTCATTAAAAATTTGTCTTTTTCATGGGTAGGTTATACATTTGGTCGGTTGACCAAAAATAATTACATTATATTCCCGCCTATTCTTCTCTGTTTTGGGGTGTCTGGCACGAGCTCCTTCACTTGTTTATCGTTTCTCTCTCATTCCCTCTTTTTTCTCTGTCTCTCTACCAATCATTGGTGATAGATCTTCTTACATACGTTTTTTTTCATGTTCATTATTTTTTTCCAAAGATATGTTGTATTTTAATATACTTCAATGGCTATTAAAGTTCAACTTTTTGGTAGCTCAGCAGCCTATTGATTATATTGGTGGATAGATGTGTCACTTTATTAACCTAAAGAATATAATGCTAAAGCCATTTGCAACAAGTAGATCTTGTTCCATGTGGAAAATGAGGCTGTTGAGGTGGGGGAGGGACTTAAAGGGAGAAGAAGTAAACGTAGAGAGAGAAGAAAAAAAGAAAATTAATGCAAAGAATTGTAAATTGCTTTGATTTTGGCTTCTCACATGTGCTCAAATGGCTCTGCAAACACGGCAAATTAAATGCCACGTGAATTAAAGGGAATATCAGCCTGGAGGGAATAACAACCCCAAAATTGAATACGAGTTTGAAAGGTCTTTATTTTCACTTTTATTTTCCAAGGATTGAAATCACATAAGATAACGTCACATCTTTTCTTTTTTTTTTTCACTTACAAAAAGTGATCTATTTCGCTTAACCCGGATATGTCGGCGACTTTGGTTTAGTTTATCAACTATTTCCTCGTTTCTAAAAAAAGAAAACTATTTCCTCGTAAAGGTGAAATAAGAAAATACCAAAATTCTAGGGAAAGTCCAGAATCTTAAATATAGGGAATAGGGTATTAGAAATCGGGGTGGGTATCTTGTACATGACATGCTAAAATTAAGGGGTCTTGATTTTTTTCTTTCTTATTATTTTGTATATAACTTGCAAATACAAATATACAAAGTAATTAATAAAGAACCTAAATACAGGTGGTAATTAGGTTTCTAGTAAAGTATAGCTAAAATTTTAGTCAAAGTCCAGAATCTTAAATAATGGGAGAAGGGTATTAGAAATCGGGGTGGGTATCGTCTACCTGACATGCTAAAATTAAGGGATCTTGAATTTTTTCTTTTTTATTATTTTGTATATAACTTGTAAATACAGATATACAAAGTAATTAATAAGGAACCTAAATAAAGGTGATAAATAAATTTCTCATTGAGTAAATGATCATCTTTTTATTGATGTTGCAATCGATGAACCTCTTAAACCATGATCAAAGATCATTTTGAGCAAACTAAATGTCCTATAGTAAAACTATCAGACTACAGTCTAAAATTTTGTAAATTATTGTAAAATCAGACAACAATTCAATATTTTGTGAGAAAATTTAAAACTGATTGAGCAAATATTATATCCGAATCTAACGTTATCCAGAAAGAAATCCCAATAGCTACAGTATTTAAAATAGGGACAAAATCTAAGGGCAAAGATCACTTTTAGCTTGAGGCCTAAACTATTTAAGCCATCTCCAAGGCTAGCACCATTTCTTGCACCAAATTTCACACCAAAATGGTGTAACACCAAATTTATTCCAACCATTACACCATTTTTTACACCAAATCTTCTCTCTCTTCTATATTATATTAACATTGTCACGACCCAAAATCTCAACCCGATCGTGATNCGCCTCTCGTGAGGACAAGGCCAGCCAATCAACAAAACAGTACATCTTTTTATAATTACTTAGCAAGAATAAGTCTAAATCATGGGCAATATAATCTTAAATGCGAAATAAACGTGATAGAACAAGGAAAACCATCCCAACTCAGCCCGAAATCGGGGTGTCACAAGTCATGAGCTACTACCGAGTTTACTAATATTTTACAAAGTCTGGAATTATCATAAATAACAAAGATAAGGGAGAAAACGGGGCTGCGGACGTCAACAGCTACCTCGTTACTCCTAGTCACCGCCTGGCCTGGAAAGAATCAGCGCTCAGGAGCGAACTCAGCTCTGCCTGTATCTGCACACATGGTGCAGAGAGTAATGTGAGTACTCCGACCCAGCGAGTAATAAAAATAAATAACGACTGAAAACATGAAATCTCATAACGGCACAATATAGCGCTATCCCAAGCAGTAAAATCAGTTATACAGTAAAATAGTGAGTATCAGATAATTCTT